CACTTGGATGGGAAGTTTTATCGCACCCGCCGTACTCTCCAGACCTGGCTCCATCCGACTACCACCTTTTCGCATCGATGGGGCACGCGCTTGCAGAGCAGTACTTCGCCGATTTCGAAGAAGTTAAAAAATGGCTCGATGAATGGTTTAGCTCAAAGGAGAAACAGTTCTTTTGGAATGGCATCCATAAATTGCCTGAGAGATGGGCAAAATGTATAGAATCAAATGGCCAATACTTTGAATAAATATATTTTAACTATCCATTGTAAATAACGTGTTTCCTTTAGCGAAAAAACCGGAAAGGAATTACCGACACACCTGGTACATTAGGGACGCTTTTATACATAGACATAGTATATCTAGATTGCGTGTTCGAGGAATGGGGGCATAGCTCACGTAGAAAAGGATATACTCTGTTTTTACTGTTCGTTCTCTCTCGCACAGTCCCGATGGAAAGGGTATAGGGAAGGCAATTGTTGTACAGTGCTGTACAGTAACCACCGCCCCTATTCCCATTCCATCAGGATTGTGCGAGAGAGAACGAACAGTAAAAACAGAATGCTTCTTTTTCTACGAGAGTTATACTCTTGAAATTTGGGAGGACGCGCAGTCTAGATATACTATGTCTATGCTTTTATACATGAAAACCAATGAAAGTTATCAGTCCAACTTGTATATAGAAGTCTGTGCATGAATTACATCGGGATAATAAGGGGATGAAATTCGCCGTCCGATCGCGCGGCACAGTTCACCTAGATGGCGCAGGGTCGTCCATCGTTGAGCAAGCCGCACGAAATGACCACAAACTTCTATAATATAACTAGACTGCTAACTCTGACTCAATACATGATCCCGAAAAATTAGAGAGCCTCATAGGAAGAGAATGATAGCGTTCAGAAAACAAAGTGCTCACTGAGCGCTTAATAACTATTGGTTCTTACTGTTAGTTTCTTACATTCGGACCAATACCGTTGACGAATTACTCAACCGTTGTGTAACCGTTGTGTTTTCTGAACGCAGCCATTGGCTGCATTCAGCAGACTCAACAGTTGGACAACATTACTAGATTTTCCACTGAATCTCGCTCCTGATTGGTAAATACTTCTGGGTCTATGAAAAATCTAAAAGAATGCTCCAATCACAGACAATAATCACTAAGCGCTCTCTGATCACTTTGTTCTACTGAACGCGGCCAATGGCAAACTGATCATGTGGCCAGGTCTCTGCTGATTCGATGGAGGTACAAAGTCTTCTTGACCAATCAGAATATCGATATAGCAAGACGACAGGTTGGTTTTACAGTGAGTTTTAAAAGCAGTCTAGGCATTTTATACTATGCACAAGACACAAAATTATGTAAATAATATATATTACGATTCTTATTCTATGTAAATCGAAGCGACAAATATTCTTTCACAATTAATATTATTACACAATTATTACTTACGGATATCTGATTTTTATTGCTGTTATTAATTCGTAGGCGAATATCTTGTGCGACTTGTCGTAACCTCCTCTAATGATTGACAGATGTACGTCAGACTGCTTTAAAAACTCATTGTAAAACCAACCTGTCGTCTTGCTATATCGATATTCTAATTGATCAAAAAGATTTTGTGCCTTCATCGAATCAACAGAGATCTGGTCACGTGATCAGTTTGCCACTCTCTTCCTATGAGGCTCTCTACGAAAAATATGTATTGTCCTGGTGGTCCGACATTCACGTCTGATTGGTTGAATCAAAACACATTTCTTCTAATTGGTTCGGCCATATTGCTTATGTAGCCCCTTTCCTTGTGGACTACCAATTTCACGCATGCGCAGATGCTTGATTCCCTTATCTAATACATACTTTTTGAGATCAGTCTTGTGCTACAGTATACAAGGGAGTTAGCAGTCTAGTTATACCATAGAAGTCTGTGGAAATGACTCGTCGAATAACGAGCGGCGACTCCATGCACGCGCTCGATCTCGACCAATTCCTGTCCGATGTCCGACGTGTGTACTTATCAGTCACTGGCGGTTTCCGCCGGAGCGCCGGCTAATTGGCCTTGGCTTGCTCGCGCGGGAAGCGTTGATCTTCTTCGTCCAGCCGTTCCGGCAGAGCATAATAAGCCCGAGGTGATTAACCCCGCACAGCTCGAGGAGCGTACTTACCTACGTACATGCATGCATGCATGCGATCGCCGCGTAACATTGACACACTTCGCGCTGGCTCTCGTGTGTCACGGCTTTTAAGTACGCACCTATGCAATAAATCCGGCTTGTTGTCGTCATCGTCGCTGTTTCTCTCCCCACCTCTTCTCTCACTTTCTCTCTTTTTCTCTTTCTCTCTCTTTCTATCTAACTATTTCTATTTCTATCTCCATCTTTCTATCTATTTATCTATTTCTCTCTTTCTCTTTTTGTCTATCTATTTATCTCTATCCTTATCTTTCTCTCTCTCTCTCTCTCTCTCTCTCTCTCTCTCCCTTTCTCTCTCCTTGAGCGCAACAGGACACGCTCGTTCGCTATTGTCGCGTTCATTGAGCGATCGCGCATACCTCGCGATTATTCACCGTGTCGTGTCTTTGAAAGAAAAAAACGCGATCGTTCACACCTGAATCTATCTTGACACTTACGCAAGCTTACGCTCGTTCCACGACATGTAGATCTTTCCAGTGTTCCTTTATTTCATCAACATGCCATTTCGTTGGCCATTTCGTTGAGCACTTCGTCAAGCAGTGATACGGGTTCTCCGACGAGCTCGGCGAGTCCCGATGGACAACGTGATCCATTTGCACTCAAGTCGCGCAGGTGACGACTCGGTGAACCGAATCTCCGCCGAATTTCTAAGTTCTAGTTCCAAGGCCGCGGGCGAAGGTGTACATACACACTGTCGGGTACGTTTCCTTCGCCGTTAATAGGCGCAGAAGTCCACAGCGACATTGAAGCGAGATCGAAGTTAGAAGGCAGTTAATTGAATTAGAAAGCGACCGGACGTGATTGACGAGCAACATTTGGTCCGAGGAAACATCAAACCACGAGGTTGCCGTCTTTTTCGGTCCGAGATAACGAGAAATTGCGAAGTGACGAGGAACACGGCGGAAAGCCATGACGCGCGCGACTTCCGCTGTCCGTTCCGTTGGCGCATTTAATTACCTTTGCGTCTCGCCGCTAACATTGTCGCGAATCGCCTTCAGCTCGGCGCGATTCTCCCGCCGGCTATTGGACGTCAGCCACGCGCGACAGGTATAACAATCGTCGTCACCGTCGACAACCGACACAAGTCGCGCGCGAAATGCATGCGTCCGCGGAAGGTCGCCGTTGAATCCTCGCGGCAGCGGTGGCGGCGGCGGCGACGACGTCGTATCCGCGAAAGCACGCGGGTCATTAGTGGCTCGGAACTACTGATTACGGATCTAATATCACCGTTTGCGTGACCCCGACCCAATTTTTAACGAGCGGGAAACTCGGACGCCGGTTAATCCGGCCGCTCGCCGCTTCGCCTCGCAATCGGGAACGCGCTTGTCCCATTTACACGGCCTGTCAATGTGCTCCAGAGTGTCGTTCCTCCTGTACTCTTCCTTTCTTATTTCCTTAGTCCTTTATTATTGGGTATTAAACTTAATTTTTAAGGATTTACAAGAGATGGCGCAATGAGCACCTAATGGCATCGGTCCATATTGAAGCCAATTTCATATGAAAGTCCTGTCATTAGGCTTTAATAATCAATATATTTCATTTGGTCGAAGTGTAAATAACATATTTTTTTAGCGCATTCGATATGTCGAGTTTTGTGCCAACGAAATGCAATTTGCGGGAAGCGTTACTTTTTTATTTCCATTTGAAAAAATCGGCAGCTGAAAGTCTTCGTTTGCTCTTCGAAGCTTATGGGGATTTATGCTCCATCGATCTCAACTCGTGAGTTTAGACTGGTTTAGACGATTCAAAAGTGGAGATTTTTCACTTATTCATCGTTCGAAGGTAATGCTCTGTATTTGGTGGGATCAGAAGAGTGTGGTCTATTATGAGCTACTGAAACCTGGCGAAACCATTACTGGGGACCGTTATCGACAACAACTAGTACAGCTGAACCGAGAATTGAAAGAAAAACGACCAGAATACGCCGAAAGACACGACGACAAAGTGATTTTCCAGCATGACAACGCTCGGCCACATGTCGCTAAACCGGTGAAGGAAACACTAGAGCTGCTCGGATGGGATGTTCTACCCCACTCGCCGTATTCACCAGACATTGCTCCTTCTGATTTCCACTTGTTTCGATCCATGCAGAATCACCTTCCTGCAGCACTTCAGTTCTTTAGAAGATATATAAAAAATTGCTCGATTTATGGATAACCACAAAAGACGAGTCGTTCTTCCGCCGAGGAGTCCGCCTTTTACTAGAAAGATGGAAAAAAAGGAAAATAGCTAACGATACACAATACTTTGAATAACATGTACTTATCACTTTTTTTCGAAATAAACGTTCATTTTCACAAAAAAATCCTTTGAAATTAAGTTGAATACCCAATATTTCCTGAGCGGCTCGTCAGCTGCTTGCGAGTCAATCTCCCGGTGAGGTCCCCCCGCAACCCGCAGTATTTACAGACGCGACTAAATATAATCGACGATTGCGTTTTTATTAAAGCGGTGAGAGCGAGAGCAAGCGAGAGGGGGAGGAAGGGAGAGAGACGGAGAGGAAGACGGCACGCGTGCGCCGATCACCGTGCGTTTGATCGCCCTTCGGGATGATCCGAGAATTCATGGAATCGCGTTTGCGAGCGCTGTCGGGACGATCAATCGCATCAGCAGGTGTCCTCGACAATTGGCCGATTAGGGCCGCTCGCGCTCACGACGGGATTTTTCGCGCACCGCCGTGCCGTCGCATTCGGTTTGACGAGAGCGATAGAGTGACAGGGGGGAGGAGGGAGAGGGAGAGAACGAGAGAGAGAGAGAGAGAGAGAGAGAGAGAGAGAGAGAGAGAGAGAGAGAATCGGAAGAGCGCGCGTTCAGTACGCACTCGCGTTGTTATCGACCATCAGGATAGGAGGCGAGTGAGCCGAGCTGGCTCGAGCAGCACCGAGCGGCGCCGAATCGTGGACGGAGAAGCGAGCAGCTCCGGAGTCGTCCCTTCGTCGGCCCAGGACCTGGATCCCGTCCTGCCGAGAACTGCGAGCGAGCGTCCGGCAGTCGGTAGTCCTGAGACTGTGCGCGCGATTCGCGTTTCTCGCCGCTCCGCGTGAAATCATCCCGCGCCGTTCCGCGCCTCGGCCGAGCGGGGGACGCGTGAAGAGACGGTCGTCGCTCGTACCTTCCGAGAGAGAGAGAGAGAGAGAGAGAGAGAGAGAGAGAGAGAGAGAGAGAGAGAGAGAGAGAGAGAGAGAGAGAGGGACTTAGCATCGAACGGGCCAACGCTGTGTTTACATCTCTCCCAACAGGACGCCAGGATCCCCTGGCGCTCTCTCATCTTTTCGGTTCTTATCTCTCTTCCTCCCCCCTCCCTCCCTCCCTCTCTCTCTCTCTCTCTCTCTCTGTCTTTCTCTCTTTTTCTCTTCCTCTCTGTTTCTGTCCTTCTCCCTCTTCACTTCGCTGCTTCCGATAAGATCAGAGGGATGTTGATTAAATCCGATGAACGTGACACGTGCGACGGGAAGGAAGGCCGTCTTTCTCGCAGGATCAATCCGGGTATCCTTCGTCTCGTCGTGTATCGACATCCTCGTTATCCCGCGCGCACTATTATTGACGGTACCTGGATCACGGGACGGTAGTCTCTCGGCGGGTCTCTCGGCTAACTCATCCTGTTCATTCTCATCCTCGTGCTCGCGAATCTCCAGCGACCGCCGATAAGCAGTACGTTACGTAGATCGGGTTCAATTTTACCCCCAACATCCTGGACTCCTTCATTCCCTCTTTCTCTCTTTCTCTCTCTTTCTTTTTCTCTCCCCTCCCGCCTTTCTCTCTCGATCAAGAGCAGTCAAGTGACGTGAACGTCATTTTCCTACGCTAGAAATCTGTCAACGAGCCGTCGTTGGCCGCTTACTCGAGCGCCAGGTCACGTTTACTTCAGGACGTCGCAAACGAGCAACAAGCCATTCGCGACGCCTCCGCGGAGCTCGGCGTGCGAATGGCACCGTGAAGACGTTCCTCGGGGACTCGCCGTGGACGCAGTTCGAGTTGAGTGCCGCGGTCGCCTGATGTCGCACCTCCTTGGCAGCGCGATGTGCGTGCAGTCGTGTTGACGACTTCGTTTTCGAGCACGAGGTGAGGGGAGACGCGAGACAGCTACCACGACGACAACGACGACGACGAGGAAGTTCATGATTAATCGCGCGCAATGAGAGTGACGGTGTTCCAGAGGTGTGTTGGTCATGCCTCGTGACTGTGTACCGTCGACTGTGCGAATACTTGCCGAGTGTTTCGGCGACTTTACCACGTCACCGGGGAGCATGGAGAATCTCGTCGATCAGTCTCGTAGCGGCGTCACGGAAACGTAAGCTTCCCTCGCCTCTGTCTTTCGCGGGCGACGGCCTCGACGACTCCGACGATGACTCTCTCTCGTTTTTCCTCTCGTATTTTTTGTCTTCTTCGTTTTTCCTAGCGCGACTTTTGTCCCTGTCGACCTCTCTCTCTCTCTCTCTCTCTCTCTCTCTCTCTCTCTCTCTCTCTCTTCGGAACGCGTTCCTCGTCTAGGTTGCACAAAAGTGCCTCATCAGCCCGTTGTCTTGGCGACTCACTCGGCGAACAGACCGTTGCGCGCGTAATGCGCCGTGGAGGAGGGAGGAAAAAAGATTCCTCGAGCGTTTTGCGTGTGCGGTGGCTCCGTTCTCCTCGATCGGGTAGCCCGTCGAGTTGAAATAATTATATTCCGATCGATAACGCGCGCAGATAAGAATAATTAATAATTGATCTCTCGGCGGGGATACAACGTCGCGGAAGCGGAAATTTCTCGGGATTGAGCCCCGCTCGAGCGCCGAATGAAATTCCTCCGTTGCGGAGTCAGTTGAGATCAAACCAGGCCAAGATATTTCCCTCCTTGTCTCTCCCCCCTTCGAAGTTTTTGTCCTTTCCTTCCTGTCAGTCACTTCCTTTTTGTAAGCCGATCGAGATATCATCTAGTTACCTAGTCATAGGTTAGTATAGTCTAGATGACTATATTTTCTGTTAATTTAGACGACATTTAATTTCTGTTAATCAACAGTCACCGTCATCCGCAGTCTGTTAGATAACGAGTTTACTGCATTTTTTTTTCTCCCTGTCAGTTATTGCTGCGCATTAGTCGAGTGTAGCGACGGCAAACCCACCGTCATAATTATCGGTAGCTTTACATTACGTGGGCCGACACGAGAATAATAACCAAGGTCGGCAGCGCGCGGATAGTGCTGAAAAACGAAATATCGATTCAGCACCGTCGCATCGGCCGCATTTTTCTCTTGTGACGCTCGTTGCAACAGCGCGAGGATGCATCCGTGCGGTGCCTCCCGCGCATGGAATGCAACTCTGCTGCAGCGTGCGCTCCCGCGGGGTCATCCAGGCTCCGAGTGGATTCGCGTGTAGTCACGTTAGTTGCATAGTCGACCAAGCTCAACCAAGAGGAATCCAAATTGCCGACCCTGATTCTCCATTTCGTCCAACGTAAATTTCCATTATTTTTCACAAGGACCGCATTCACAGATTCTGTAGAATTCTAGAAATTGGCGTTTTTCCCGCAAAACTTTCGTTTATTCAACGAACAATGAGCGAACAAATAATTCTCTCACTTCATTGTATTATCTTCACATCATATTTTACCTTATTAGTCGCATAGTTGCAAGCTCGACCGATAAGAATTCAAATTTCCGGCCCTGCCGATTCTCGATTTTGCATCCAATGTAAACTTCGATTATTTTTCACAGAGATCGTAATTACGGATTTTATAAGATATTAAGAATTGGCGTTTTTCCCTGCAAAATCTTCGTTTATTCAATGAATAAACAATGAGCGAACAAATAATTCTCTCACTTCATTGTATTATTTTCACATTATTTTTTATCTTATTAGTATAGTTGTAAGTTCGATCGATAAGAATTCAAATTTCCGGCCCGGCCGATTCTCGATTTTGCATCCAATATAAACTGCGATTATTTTTCATAGAGATCGTAATAACGGATTCTATAGGATTCTAGGAATTGGTGTTTTTCCCGCAAAACTTTCGTTTATTCAACGAATAAACAATAAACGAACAAATAATTCTCTCACTTCATGGTATTATTTTTACATCATTTTTTATCTTATTAGTCGCATAGTTGCAAGCTCATCCGATAAGAGTTCAAATTTCCGGCCCTGCCGATTCTCGATTTCACGTCCAATGTAAATTTCGATTATTTTTCACAAGGATCGTAATTACGGATTTTCTCTATAAGATTCTATAAAATTTTTTCCCATAAAATCTTTGTTTATTTTATGAAAAAATAATGAGCGAACAAATAATTTTCTCATCTCATTATATTATTTGCATATTATTTTTTTACTATATTAGTCGTATAATCGCAAATTTAAAGAGGAATTCAAATTTCCAGCCTCACTAATTGTCGATCTCGCGTCCTATGTAAATTTCGATAGTTTTTCACAGGGCTCGTAATTACGGATTCTATTTGATTCTAAGAATTGATGTTTTTTCTCGCAAAACTTTCGATTATTCAAAGAATAAACAATGAGCGAACAAGTCATTTTTCCACTTTATTTCCTTTCTATTTCATTCTTCATCACATTAATTGCATAGCCGCAAGCTCGACCAAGAGGAATCCAGATTTTCAGCCTTGTTGATTTTCCATCTCGTAAACTTCGATTTTTTTCACAGAGGTCATAATTACGGATTCTATAAGATTCTAAGAATTAGCATTTTTCCCGTAAAACTTTCGTTTATTTAACGAATAATCAACCAGCGAATAAATAATTTTCTTACCACATTATATTATTTTCACATCATTTTTTATTATATTACTCGTATAGTCGCAAGTGCGACCAATAGGAATCCAAATTTCTGGCCTTGTCGATTCTCGATCTCGCATCTAACGTAAACTTCGATTATTATTTACAGAGATTGTAACTATGAATTTTAGGGATCGGCTTTTTTCTAAAACCTTCGTTTATTCAACGAATAAATAACAAGCGAACAAATAATTTTTTCACCTTATCACATTATTTTCATCACATTAGTCACATAGTCGCAAGTTCGACCAATAGAAATTCAAATTTCTGGCCCCGTCGATTTTCGATCTCGCGTCTAACGTAAACTTCGATTATTCACAGAGATTGTAACTATGGATTCTGGGAATTGGCTTTTTTCCTATAAAACCTTACTTTATTTAACGGATAAACAACAAGCGAATAAATAATTTTTTCACCACATTATATTATTTTCATATCATTTTTTACCACATTAATCGCATAGTCGCAAGCTCGACCAATAGGAACTCAAATTTCCGGCTCCGTCGATTCTCGATCTCGTCCAACGTAAGCTTCAATTATTTATTATTCATAGAGATCGTAACTATGGATTCTAGGGATTGGTTTTATTCTTTAAAATTTTCGTCTATTTAACGAATAAATAACGAGCGAACAACTAATTTTCTCACTTTATCACATTATTTTTACATGATTTTTTATTACGTTAGTCGCATAGTCGCAAGTTCGATCAATAGCTATTTAAGATTCCGGCTCCGTCGATTCTCGATCTCGTCCAACGTAAGCTTCAATTATTATTCACAGAGATCGTAACTATGGATTCTAGGGGGATTGGCTTTTCTTTCGTCTTACCTTAAAATAAAATAAAACCTTCGTCTATTCAACGCGCGAATAGATCACTTTGTCACCTCGTTAATTCTTATATTAGGACTCCTCCCCCATAAAAATCCCCTTTATTTGCGCAGCGAGTAAGAGCATAATCTCTTCATCTCTCTTAACCATAGATTTCAGTTATCTTTCATTTTCACCGTCGGTCCTATGTGGTTAGAATTTCTTCCCCTGTGCAAACCCTTCATCTCGCTCGCGAGCGGACCTTGATTATTCCCTTCTCCTTGCGCCCCGCCGCCGATTGTTTCTGCCGTCGCGTTGTGCCTGAAAATTCCGTCTCGATCCTGCCCGCCACCATTTTCTCCTTTCCGATTCCCATGGCTCCGCGCGGGGTTCGTTAGTCACACACCGGCGGCTATAGTTTCGCGCCGAGACCGGTTCACCTTCGGCACTGCTCCCACGTAACTCCGGTTTCGATACATTTCCACATACATCCGAGCCCCGCCGTCGAATCGCGCACGTGCGCCATGTGCGTTACGAAAGATCTCCCGATAAGATCGGAGATTTACGATTGGCGGTCAGGGTAAAACGCATAACGATAAAATGCGAAACGATAAATAAAAAAGCAACCACCGGTATGCTTCCCCGCACGTCCCGACACGAGGAAGTCACCACGCCGATCTTCTTGCCATCTGACTTGTTCCGCTGCAATCGTCGCTGTAATCGCGTCGTACTCTCGCGCCGCGAAACTTGCCCGAACTTCTGCGTCAACTTTTCCACGGACTCGATGAATGCACACTCCAACTTTCGGCTTCCCGAAAACATTCGTGTGAACGTTCTCATTCTTCTTCTTCTTCTCTCTCTCCTCTCTATCTATCTATCTATCTATCTATCTATCTCGTATATCGTGCGAGATTACACCTCGTGCAAACTCGAGGAGCCTTTCCGGCTCTCTGCCGTAAGGGCGGCTGCAGTCGAACGATGCTTGAAGACAATTGGAGCAGACTCCCGGAGGTGTCTCTTCGCGACGTCTCGATCGCACAGATGGACTCTCGGGATTTCTTCGAGTGGAATTTCGTTGGAAAAGTGGCACCGAAGCCGAAGTCGCTCGACTTCGAGTGACTCTCCGCTCGTTGCACGTGCTCGTACATGTATCACTTGCTCCTTTATGTGATGACGCGGTAGCATGCGAGCAAATTTCGCTGATCTCTGGCTTAATAATAAACGTCCAAACTATTAAGCCGGCCTGTGTACTCCACCGTCTCGTGGGGACAAATTCGCTCTAATCGATCGATACCAATACGAATCAAAGGAAAAAAAAGGAGAAAGAGAAACCCGAGTAGAAAAATTAATAGGGCTCTGGTAAGGGCCTGATTATTTTTCCCTAACATTAATCGGGCCCTAGGAATAGAAAGACAAGGGTTCTACAAGATATGTAACAAATGGTTTAACGGGTCCTTATAAGACAATATTACGCGGGTCTTATAAGGAAATACTAATAGAGTCTTACAAGGAAATATTTGTATTATTGCTTGAGTAAAAATATTCGTTCTTTTTATTCCAAGAAATTTACATTATAATTTCTTTATTTTTTTATATCCTTGTTAGTATACAACAAGAATTTTTTATTTTAAGAATATAGCATACTTTATAATAAAATCTAGCATTCTTTACACATAAAAATCCTGCTACTGTTTCTATTAAAGTTTGCTGTATTTCAAAACGAAAACAATACTAGAAAAATCTAGTTAGAAGAAACTAATGAATATGGCAACTAATAAAACTAATAAAATTTGTTTTTAATTTAACAGGATAATTAAAAAATCTTTAAAAGAACCAGATAGAGCGTACCTACTAAAACAATAATAAACTATGACAATTTTATTACATGCTCCAGATCTTATTAATTTTCTAAACAAAATTTTCTAAACAAAATTTTCTAAACAAAACTTGATTTTGTATATCTAAAGCATCCTTAAAAGATCCTTCTACAAGGCCCACATCAGTTTTCCATGTTAAAACGTTATTTCGTAAAATTTAAGGTATTCCTAAAAAATTCTCTTAAAGCTCTTCTCAGCTTTTCCTATCAAAGCCTTATTTATTAGATCTAAAGCATCCTTAAAAAATCCTTCTAAGGCCCTTCTCAGCTTTTCCTATCAAAGTCTTATTTCGTAAAATCTAAGGTATCCTTAAAGATTCATCTCGGGGCCTGATGTGATAATAATGAGGCATCCCTTCTAGAGCATCCTACTTTCAGCCTTATCGGGGCCTTATGCTTCATGAGGATAGCCCTAACAATTTTTTACTCGGGAGAGGGAGCAGGGAGAGAGGCTAGTCTGAAACCGAACTAAACATCCAGCCTGGCGATTCCGAGTGACGGTGTCTCCTCTATCGCGAATACTCGCTCATCCAAAGATGTAAGGAAAACCTTACCTCGAAATCACACAAAGGGAAAACGTACTGGACGAGCTTCCTGTCTCACTTCGACACCGTCCAACCTGTAACACGCAAGGCTATCCGGGAGTCTCACCTCCCAAGTGGTGAGCGATAGTCGCCGGAGGATCGTTCCGGATCTCCCCGGCCCACCTTGATTCCGTCGGAAACGCCAGACCTTCCTCGCTTTCAGCCGCATTAGCTCGCGCGAACAGGTAGTTCTCGCAGCCTCGTCTATCAGCGACACGTCGAGGCGCGCAAGATAAATGCGACTTTAACAGTTCCTCGTCTCGGATCGGATGATCCGATAACGGAGGATCGGCGCGCACTTTACTCTAACGGTGGCACGGGGGAGGGGAAGAAGGGTGCGCAGAGCGCGAAGTAGATGTGTTCGGGATATTATAAGCTCGCGTTGCGTAAGCGGATAATAATCGCGCTGCACGGATCTCTTGTCGCTGATGATCTCGTTTCTTTTTCTGTCTCCTTTTTTTTCCTTTCTGCAGCTCCCATTCATTATTTTCTAGCGATCGGGCCAATTAGCGTGGCCGCGACGCGAGGTATAGCGATCGACGCTGCTTCACGCCCTGAGCGCATTTGCATTCGTCTGCATTTCCGATTTCCCAGTCGACGCCGATCGCCGCCGATCACTCCGTGATTAGACGGAATCCATCGGAATCCGTCCGTCAGACCGTTCGTTCGTTCGTCGTCGTCCAAGCCAAGGCCGCATGGAGAAGCGGTGCGTTCAATTTATTTATACTTTACGGCTGCCGCAAGTCTATGGCAAGTTCTCGTTCAAGGCTTCGCGGGTGACTATTGGAATTTTTCTTCGGCCGTTTTTTTCCCCGCGCGTGAGCGCGTCTCAGTAATTGGTACCTCGTGCCGGCAATTGTTGATTGAATTATGCAAGGTGTAGATGGGTTGTTTCGCGGAACCGTCGTCTCTTCTCAGAGAGATCGCGTATCGCGCAATCTTTCATCGCGTACGACGTTGGAATTCAAATATAGATAGGTAAATCGACGGTCGTTCCTTGGAAGTCTTTGAAGCTCCCGTATCTTAGGATTCATCCAGTCTCGATTACTTGGAGACATGTTACGCAAAATCGAACTGCAGCTGTGGACTTAAAATCTTAAGGAAGCATGAAACCATCCAGTTTTTCCGAGTTCAGTTTGAAAATTCTGGAGAACAATGTCATTCGAAAAAGCCCGTGATAATTGGGCAATAACAGGTTATATTCTTCGAAATTTGCAGAACTTGCGAGTATCGCGGGACTAGCTGATTTTGTTAAGTTTATTTTTAAAATTCCAAAGAAGAATATCATTTGAGAAAGTCCGTAATAATTTGACAATAACAAATTACATTATTTGAAACTTACAGAACTCGTGAGTATCGCGAGACCAATGAATTTTTTCAAATTTAATTTTAAAATTTCAAAAAAGAGTATCCTTCGACAAAGTTCATAATAATTTAACAATAAGTTATTATCATAGTCCGAGTCGAAATTCGCAGAGCTCGCAAGAATCGCAGGACCAGCTGATCTCTTTGAGTTTAGTTTTAAAATTCCAAAAAAGAATATCATTCAAGAAAGCCCGTGATAATTGAGCAATAACAGGTTTATATTCTTCGAAATTCGCAAAACTTGCCAGTATCGCGAGACCAGTCGATTTTGTTAAGTTTATTTTTAAAATTCTGGAGAATAATATTGTTCGTGATAACTTGACAATAACTAGTTACATTCTCCGAGCCGAAACTCGCAGAGTTTACGAGTACCGCGGGATCAGTCGATTTTCTTGAGTTCAATTTTAAAATTCTAAAAAAGAATATCATTTGAGAGTCCATAATAATTTGACAATAACAAGTTACATTATCCGAGCCGAAATTCGCAGAATTCGTGTATCGCGGGACCAATTGATTTTGTTAAGTTTATTTTTAAAATTCTGAAAAAGAATATTGTTCGAAAACGTTTGTGATAACTTGACAATAACTAGTTTCATTCTCCGAGCCGAAACTCGCAGAGTTTACGAGTAACGCGGGATCAGTCGATTTTCTTAAATTTTATTTTTAAATTCCAAAGAAGAATATTATTCCAAAGTCGATGATAATTTGACAATAACAAGTTACATTATCCGAACCGAAATTCGCAGAACTCGTGTATCGCGGGATCAGTGAATTTTCTCAAATTTAGTTTTAAAATTCTGAAAAAGAATATCATTGGATAAAGTTCGTAATAATTTGACAATAATAAGTTTTATTGTCCAAGAGAAAGAGAGAGAGAGAGAGAGGGGGAGAGAGGGAGTGTCGAAATTCGCAGTTTACGAATATCGTGGAATTAATTGATTTTCTTGAGTTCAATTTTAAAATTCCGAATAGAAGAAAAATATTTAAAAAAGTCTGTAATAATTTGACAATAATAAGTTATATTGTCCAAAAGAAAGAGAGAGAGACAGAGAGAGACAGAGAGAGAGAGAGAGAGAGAGAGAGAGAGAGAGAAAGAGAGAGAGAAAGTCGAAATTCGCAGAGCTTGTAAGTATCGTAGGAACAATTGATTTTCTAGAGTTTAATTTTAAAATTCCAAAGAAGAATATTATTCGAAAAAGTCCGCAATAATTTAACAATAATAAGTTACATTGTGCAAGAGAGAGAGAGAGAGAGAGAGAGAGAAAGAGAATCGAAATTCGCAGAGCTCGCGAGTATCGCGAAACCAGCTGTTTTTCTTGAATATAGTTTCAAAATTCCGGAGAATATCATTCGAGGAAGTGTCTGCAATAATTCGACAATAACAAATTACATTGTCCAAGTCAAAATTCTCAAAGCTCGCGAGTTTAGATCGCACATTGTCGTGCGATCGACTTTATTCAGGATTCACTTTCGGAATCCCGCTGAAAGATACCGGAGAAAGTTACGCAAGTTACATAACTAATAATTGGTCGTCGGGTTGCTTCTGAACTCAGGTGGCCGAACCGCAGATGAGGAGACTGTCGATCGCGACTAGGGTGACTACTCGATCGTCGAGGGATGAGATCGTAACGAAATCGGGCGAGGTGCCGGATCGCGCGTGAGAAAGCGAAGCGTTGCACGGATGTAACGCGAACGATCCCGACCACCGGCCCCGGTTGAAAAGATCATGGGCTCCTTGCCGAATCTTCACGAGTTGTCCAAGGACAAGCTGGAAAGCCCAGTGTACAGACCAGCGCCGATCGGCAGTCTCGGGCCGATACGATTACCGGCGCAGCCTCCACCGTTGGCTCACACGCACAGACGCGCCAGGAGCAGCGGGCATCATCATTCTACTTTGAGCGACAATGACACGATGATGGAGGTGAGCCGATGATCGAATCGTGAGGAAGCATGATCTAACGACGATCCGCGGACTGCGAGTAACGCGAGAAAACTGCACTGAGAGAAGAAAATGTTCACCCAAAAAAAAGTATTCTATTTGTAAAATGATTTTTCCCATAGTCTGATATTCTAAGCTAAGCAAAGCTTTTTACAGGAAAAAGATTCTTCTTTCGATAAAGTGATTAAAGTGAACCATTCATCTAAAATTTACTAGATATATCTCTATTCTCCTCTTATTTCAAGAGGATTTCCTCTTATCTCAATTAATTTTCTTCTTATATGAAGAGGAATATGTTGACTTGAATCTCTCCTTCTTTTGTTCAGTTATGCTCTACCTTCAGATATGAACGAAAAAGTAATCTCACGGCCTCATATGCTTATGGGTCAGAATATTCGGGATGCTTTTTAAAAAAAGTATATGTGTTGCTATAACATATAACGAAGATAATTTATCCATATTTTGTCAAATACAGTTTATAATTTATTGCAAGAAGTTGAATAATATATTCTTTCTTTTAACTATATCTCTTTTTAACTATATTTCATGCAATTAGTTATGATGAATATCTTTGTAGCTATGAAATCCATAACAAAACTGATTGGAAATTTATTTGTTATGATGATCTTATTTCATTCATGCCTACTTATTGTAGAACTGGAGCCAGAAGTACATCTATACATATTACTTTTCGCTGTACATTATAATAATTTTTTCAACTTAACCAGTAAGAATAAAGTACAATAAGAATAAATAATAATTAAAAAAAGATTAAATAGTCTGTGTATAAGAGAAAATTTATATTAAAATCAATAAGACTTGCATTACGAGGGCGGTCCGATAAGTACTTAGCCTCACCGCCCGATGGCGCCACTATCGCAAGAGAAATTTATTATCGTGTAGTACATTCTCGTAGACGGCTACTGTCGAAATTTCAGCCGAATCGGACTCGTAGTTTTATTTTGACCGCGTGTGGAAGCGGGCGTGTCCGCGGATTTTAGAAAAATGGAAAAAGAGCAATATCGGTCGGTGATTCGATTCTTGTTTTTGGAAGGGAAATCGCGCAGCGAAATCAAAGAGCGCTTGGATGCTGTGTACGGTGACTCTTCTCCTTCGATGGCGACCGTCAAAACTTGGTTTAACGAGTTTCAACGTGGTCGCACGTCGGTTTTTGATGAGCCACGCCCAGGTGCCCCGAAAACGGCTACCACGGAGGATAGCATGACAAAAATCCACGATCTCGTATTGGCAGACCGCCGATTGAAGGTGCGCGAGATAGCTGAGACAGTAGGCATCTCAAAAGACCGCGTGGGTCATATCCTGCATGAAATTTTGGGCATGAGAAAGCTGTCGGCGCGATGGGTGCCGCGTTTGCTCACTCCGGACAACAAGCGCAACCGTGAGACCACTTCAGAGCAGTGTTTGACGCTGTTTAAGCGCAATCCGAAGGAGTTTCTGCGTCGTTTCGTGACCGTCGACGAAACATGGATCCACTGGTACACACCAGAGACCAAGGAACAGTCGAAACAGTGGACTTCACCCGGCGAACGTGCTCCGAAGAAGGCGAAGACTGTCCTATCGGCCGGAAAGGTGATGGCCACCGTTTTCTGGGATTCACAAGGTGTGATCTACATCGACTACCTGGAGAAAGGCAAAACGGTCACAGGGCTGTACTATGCCGAATTATTGGGCCGATTCGACGCCGAATTGCAGAAAAAACGGCCCCATTTGGCGAAAAAAAAAGTGCTCTTCCACCATGACAACGCACCGGCTCACACCTCCGCCCTCGCCACGGTCAAATTGGTCGAATTGGGCTACGAACTGCTGCCCCATCCACCGTATTCTCCAGATTTGGCCCCGTGCGACTTCTTTTTGTTTCCAAACTTGAAAAAGTCACTCGCCCGGCAGAAATTTGAGTCGAATGAGGAGGTCATCGCCGCCACGGAGGCCTACTTTGCAGACCTCGAGAAAACGTATTTTTCAGACGGGTTAAAGAAGTTGGAGCATCGCTGGGTCAAGTGTATCGAGCTAAAAGGAGACTATGTTGAGAAATAAATCGCCACTTTTCCAAAATTTTCGTTTTTCTTTTGTAGGCTAAGTACTTATCGGACCACCCTCGTATACATGTAACATGTAATTCCTCTAACTTTAAGAATAATATGTTTAATAATATGTTTCCTCTTAATTTTAGAGGAATCCACTTGAGGCCATATATAAGAGTAAAATCCTCTAAAATTTAAATGATTCTGCTTGTCCTGAAATTACTTTTTTTGGATGTTCGCAACTTTGCGATTGTATAATCGATGAACGGGGCGATCGCAACCGGTTCAATTATTTTTCTGTACCGCTTTAATCATCATGCTTATATTTATATATTCAAATATCATAATTATCACGATTTTGAATACATTTCATCGGCATCAATTTCCGGGAAAATAACGAGGAAATATGACACGCTGGGAATGAGAGCACAAATTATTATTTTAACCCTTTATATCCTGACGATACTTAAAACTATCGCTCTATATAAACGTTCACATGAACTTCTTGAACCTTTTTTCCTGTATCATAACATCTTACATTTCTGTCGGTACTTACAAGTGTCATCTTAGAATTTAATTGTTCAAGTGTTATAAAATTTATTTTCCTGTTCTTTGTGTTTATAATATGCCAAAGCTATTTAATTACACAAAAAATTTAATAAAATTTTAGATAAATTAATTTTTGATATAAAAGATTAACGAGATGAACCGTTTTCTTCTCTTAGCACACCGGCACGCGTATCGTGCGATCAAGCGACTTGTGGATTTAATCTATCGCGAAGTCGCAATCGCGTCATTCACTACAACTCAGCGCGCACCGCGAGTAAATCCTTCGAGATCGACGGGATTTTTCCCACGCCGCGATTTTGATCAGAGTTTATCAGAGTTCTTAAGACTCCACCCGGGTTTAGTTCCAGGGCAATACAGGCCCCTAATTATCACGAACTCGCCTCTACATCTGTTTCGAAATCTATTTTGGAAGCTTTGATTTTGGTTATAAGGTTGGTAGGCTTAAAACTAACTTACAAGGAGATGGCAAGACATGTAAAATCGATAATTGAATGAGTCATATTTCATTCGAATGGGTTGAGTACATAAAAACCCTAAAAAGGTTTGCGTGCATGAGCCTTCGTTTGCGAGAAATTTGCAATTAAAAAAACAGCTACATGTTAAGTGTAGTAATTTGGAATCAATAAGCTAAGGCGCGCGTTAGCATTTTGTCGTCTACGTACGAGGAGTGTTCGAGTTCTCGCAGTGCCAATTTTTTTTTTTATAATATTATGTATTACTATATTTTATAATATTTCTATATTTTCAATATTTTTATTATTTTTTATAGGACAAAAATATAATGCATACCTATACAATAATATCTGTTTTATTATATAAAAAATAACAAGAATAAACGTTTTAATTATTTATTATAAAATTGGATTTTATAAAAATATTAAATTTTAATTAAATAATTGAATTTTATAAAAATATTAAAAATATTATAGAAATATTATAAAATATAGTAATACATAATATTATAAGAAAAAAATTGGTATTGCGAGGCCTCGAACACTCGTCAGACGATAAGATACTAGCGCGCGCCTTAGCTTCCGCAGTTATCGCGCTTCATGCTTATTGATTCCAAGTTACTACACTTAACATGTAGCTGTTTTTTTAATTGCAAATTTCTCGCAAATGAAGGGCTATGCACACAAACCCTTTTAGGGTTTTTATGTACTCAATTCCCCCATTCGAATGGAATATGACTCATTCAATTATCGATTTTACATGTCTTGCCATCTTCTTGTTAGATATGTTTCGCACTTTATCAGCTGATCACGCATGAATGTTAACAACTATATATATTATTTCTATTTATAAACTTGGTTTTAGTTATTAATTTTGTGTTAGGGGTTGCAAAAGTTTCCATCGTTCACATATAGATGATATTGTGAATTATTTACATGAAAGTTGTGCCGTATTTTTGTTAGGTTATGTCAGTATTGATCAACCCACGTAGAAACTGACGCATGATAAATCTTCTTCATTGATATAAACATTTTTAATTCGTACGAAGATGGAAGATTCGTCATTGTATGCTTTTTTATTTCATCAGCGCAAAACAGCTGCCGAAACAATTAGAATCATTTGCGAAGCTTATAGTGAAGGAACGATAGTAGAAAGTCCATGTCGTGAGTGAAAATGTCGACGCTGTAAGTGATGATTTTGACTTGAAAGACAAGGAGCGTGCCGGGCGACCGCAAGAGATGAGTTCAGATGACTTGGAAGCGTTATTGCAAGAAGATTCGATTATTGCAAAAACAATCGCATATAGAAAAAGTTACATGTTAATCAGAACACTGTAAATCGACGCTTGCATGAGATGGGGAAAATTCTGAAGAAAAGAAAATGGATTCCCTTCATGAATTATCCGAGAACACTATTGCCAGCCTAGTCACCATTTGCTTTTCGCTATTCAATAAATACAAACACAAATCTTTTTTGTATCGAATTGTGACCTGAGACGAAAAATGGATTTATTATGACAATCCCAATCGTAAAAGATCGTAAATGTGGGTAAATCCCGGAGAATTCTCTACGTTACAGTCAAAACGAAGTATCCATGATCATAAGATCCTTCTGTGTATCTGATGGAACATGCAAAGAGTGCTGTATTATGAACTGTCAAAACCATCTCAAACTATCATCGTGGAATTATACAATCGACAATTGACAGTTGAATGAGCAATTGATCGAGAAACGGCCATATTTTGCGACAAAGCAAAACAAAGTGATTCTTCTGCACGACAATGCCAGGCCTCATATTGCATTGACGACTTGGGAAGCTTTAATGGAATTGCAATGGGAAATTATATCACACCTTGCATATTCTTCCCAGATATTGCTCCATCGGATTTTCACTTATTTCCTTCAACACCCTTTATC